ATAAGGAAATCACACAAACCAGCAAGAAGAGAATAAATAACCCCATTAAAATGTGGGCAAAAGACAAGAACAGAAGCTTTTCTAAAGAAGATAGACAAAATGGTCACTGGGTACAGTGGCTCACACCTGTAAATGCAGCACTGTGAGAGACCAATGTGGGTGGATTGCCTGTGCTCAGAAGTTTGAGACCAGCCTGAGCCAGAGCAAGACCTCCTCTCTAAAAATAGCCGAGTGTTGTAATGGGCGCCTGTCGTCCCAGCTACTTGGGAGACTAATGCAAGAGAATCGTTTAAGCCCCAGAGTTTGAGGTTGCTGTGAGCTGTGATTCCATAGCACTCTACTGAGGGTCAAAAAGTGAGATTCTGTCTCAAAAAAACAAAACAAAAAAAAAAGTCTTCTCTTCTTCAATCTTTACAAAAAAAGTAATTTGGAAATGACTGCTGTTTTCTTGTTTTCATCAGCTCTTTTCTGCCTATAAAACCAACCTCTTCTGTTCAGCTCACCAGAACACTAAAAACAAAAAATCCAATTAATGAAAAGAAAGAAGATAGACAATGGCCAAAAAACATATGAAAAAATGCTAACATCACTAATCATTAGGGAAATGCAAATTAAAATCTCAGTGAGATACTACTTACCCCTGTCAGAATGGTCATTACTAAAAAGTCAAAAGGCAATAGATGTTGGTTTGTATGTGATGAAAAAGGAACATTTACATACTGCTGGTTGGAAGGTAAATTAGTACAACTTCTACGGAAAACAGTGTGGAGACTCCTCACAGTACTAAAAGTAGACCTACCATTTAGTCCAGCAATCCCACTACTGCACATCCACCCAAAGGAAAATAAGTAATTTTATTAAAAAGACACACATGTATTCATATGTTTATCAGCACAATTCACAATTGCAAAGATAAAGAAAATGTGGTGTCTATGCACACACACACACACACACAGGAATGCTACTCAGCCATAAAAAAGAATGATAACGTCTTCTGTAGTAACTTGAATGGAACTAGAGGGTATTATCCTAAGTGAAGTATCTCAAGAACAGAAAACAAATATTGCATATACTCATTCATAAGGGGAAGCTAAATAATGGATATATCTGAAGTGGTGGGATGGACTTCAGAGACTCAGAGGGGAAGGAAGGGGGATGAGGGATCAAAAATTACCTACTGGGTGCAACATACATTAATTTGGATGATGGGCACACTAAAAGCCCTGACTTCACCACTATACAATTCATCCATGTAACAAAAAACAAACAAACAAACAAAAAAGACAGGGCAGGGCCTGTGGCTCAAAGGAGTAGGATGCTGGCCCTATATGCTAGAGGTGGCAGGTTCGAACCCAGCCCTGGCCAAAAACTGAAAAAAAAAATGCCATATCCCATAAATTTATTTTTATTTTTTTGGCAGTTTTTGGCCGTGGCTGGGTTTGAACCCACCACCTCCAGTATATGGGGCTGGTGCCCTACTCCTTTGAGCCACAGCACTGCCCCCCCAATCTATTGATATAAAAATAAATAAATAAATGCTTGAGGTTGGGAATAAAAAAGAAACAATAGTGAAAATCAACAAAATTTGATTCCTTGGTTGAAGCAAAAGAACCTATGCTGACAAGTGGAAAGGGGTTGGTGAGGGGAGAGGAGATAAATAAACAATGCACAAATCCATGCGCTACTTTTATGTGTCCATAGTAATGTGTATTCAAACATGTTGCAGTTGAGTGTCAACTAAGATAAAACAGCAATAATAAGTCAACCGACAATGGGGTTGATATTAAACCTTTAAAAAAACAGATAAAGTAAATAATTTTCCACATTGATTCTTCTCATTCCAGAACATCAAAAAAATAAAAACACAGTAACAGGTGGATACAACCCACAAAAAAAAAAAAAAAAAAGAACAATTTATGTTGCCTGGCATCTTTGGGACAAATCTGAAAATTATTGTTAGGTAATAACTCTGACCTATCAGATGCAGACTTCAGGTTCCCAGGGGAAAGACATGAGTTATTTGGTATTATCAGAAGGTGCTGTATTATATTAAATCACACCTCCATAGCCAAAGAGAATGTTAAATACTCATGCTTATTAATTTATCTAGGGATTAGGAGCTTGTTAAATGGGCAAAAGCTGTCATCTTGATCCCAAAATGGGCAGAATTGAGTATGACGCATCTATTTTTGAATGTCAGCAAATCATGAGTTCACCAACGTGACAGGAAGACAGAGGGATCAAAGTAGGTACCTATTGCTTATAATCTCTTCAGGAGCCAATTCAGCTTCTCCAGTTTCCAACAATCCATTTTTTTCCTTGATGAGAAATTTATTCTTTTAAATTTCCTCTATGCCCTACTCTCCTTCCCACTTGTGCAGACCCAGTATGGAACAATCAACATGGCTGACTGCTATAAACTGGATGCCAGGTTGGTGTCTGTGAGTTTAAGCATGTCCCCTCATCTAGTCCTCATGTACCTCTCAGAGCCAGGCACACTTTTTCAAACCAGGAAATATAAGTTGAAAGATATCAAGAAATTTGCTGAAGGTCATTCAGTTTGTCAGCAGAAAGGTCAGAAACCAACCAGATATATCTTCTGCGAAATTTCATGGTCTCTCTCTCTTTTTTTTTTTTTTTTTTTTTAGATAGAGTCTCACACTATTGCCCTAGGTAGAGTGAGGTGACATCATCATAGCTCACAGCAACTTCAAATTCTTGGGCTCAAGCAATCCACTTGCCTCAGCCTCCTGAGTAGTTGGGACTACAGGCACCTGCCACAACAGGTGGCTACTTTTTCTATTTTTAGTAGAGACAGGGTAGAGTGGAGAGTCTTGCTCAGGCTGTTCTTGAACTCCTGAGCTCAGATGATCCACCTGCCTTGGCTTCCCAGAGTGCTGGGATTACAGACATGAGCCACCACATTCAGTCAAATTTTATAGTCTTATCTGTGTGTCATCCTGCTCCCACCCCAGCCCAGAGGTACACAAAATATTTACTCATACGCTGGAACACTACCTATAAGAGAAGGTAGAGGAAGTGAAAAGAATTTCAGGTACCCACCTTTGTTCCCCTTCCATTGTCAAAGTGAGCTATAGCTTTCTAGTTTCAACTTGAGTTGAACAATGATGACTTTCTTGTCCTTTCTTACTGATCTCAGTGAGGCAATAGAATGATCATTCTTCACTGTTCTAGTTTGTTCTACAAACTAAATTCTAAAGTTGGAATATTTCTTATCTCATCACTGCTTTCATGAGAAACTAATCATTATTAATAAAATGATGGCTGATAAAGTCTTAGAAAAATCTAATCAGTTGTTCAAAGAACTTAGAATCTTCTGAACCAGAGCTCATCCTAAGATTCCAGCTGCTGCAAAAGTCAGGACTATATTGCTGCTATATCTTTTATCAGAGCTTGAAAAATCTTGATTAGTAAAGTTTTCTGTATGGCCTGTCTATGACCTCTGCAATTTTATTACCTAAGGAAGAGTTTCCATAAGGTTTAATAATTTTTAAACAGCACCCAAAGCTCTTCTACTTTGGATCAAATGTGGTATCCACAAAGAAAATCTGAAGTTGGGAACACTTTTAAGCTTCTGGGGAAGTCTGATAATGATATATAATATTTAATATTTACTGGACTAAGGGCTTTTTTAATGTCACCTTCCTCTGAAAGTGAGGGCTATCTAAGAAATTTTATCCAGATGGAGCATGAAAGACAGAAATACTCTTTCTAAATGAGCCAATGATAACATAACTCATCTCAATGAGGCAATAGAACGATCATTCTTCACTGCTTTCATCATAAGAACTTGACAAATAATTACTATATGAATGTTTTCTTCTATTGCTTTCATTGCCAGAGCACAAAGCAGAGAATCCAATACCAAAGAGGTTGGATAGAACAGTATAAGTTCATTTTGCTTTAAGCAATAAAGTAAATAAAGATTTTCAAGAAAGGTATTCTAAACAAACAAAATTCTCTTTGTTTCAGAAAAGATTCACTGCAGGATCGTTTTAGTTAGACAGTTTGTCAAAAGATTAAATACAATCTAATCTACAAAAAATAGAATCCATGTGCCTATCCATAGGATCCGAATTTTAGGGAAATTTGTAAAGTGAGCTCACTTAGAAAGCCACCTTGCCACTCTTCTCAAAAAAGAACAATGTTTAGAATAATTCCAGACTTGACTTCTCCCTTCCCCCTCCTGCAATACACATTTCTCCTGTGTTCTCCTCAAAAAAAAAAAAAAAAAAAAAAAGTGTCAACTTTCCCAGGAAATATTCCCTTATTCACTGAACCAACCCTGTTCACATCTCTGTCATTGAATTATTCCACTGTACTATCATGACTGTATTTATGTGTTGTGTGTTCAACTAAAACTCTTCCTAATGGAGAAATGCATCTTAATCAGCTCCTGTTTCTCTGCTAACCCTGGGACATAGCAAGTTCTCAATAAATATTCATGGAATGAATGCACATATTGTAGACATAAAAAGTACATATCTCAGGAGGCGGCTGGTGTTCATATGGATATAAATTTAAGCTGAAAGTGTAAATGGAAGTGATGGGTCTTAAATAGAGTTTGGAAGATTTGATGACTTTGATGTAGCTGGTGGGGGGATGTACAGAAACTGCAAATAAGAGAGAAGGCATCAGTCAAGCTCCACTACTCGCAAAGAACTTCCAAATGATGGGGGTCACTTGCCATGATGTAGCAGAGATCATGATCACATGTGCAAGCACAGAGAACTTGAAAATAACTTAGGAGGTTTGGTCCTCTTGGTCCAGGTCTCTCTCTGATCTAAATCTGGACTACGTGAACTGCTGCTAGGCATGCCCCATTGTCATCACCAGTGTCCAGTGTGCACTGCAAGATTGATGTCTGTCATTCCAACTCTTCAGTGCCATCTAGAAGGACTAAGCTTTTCTTGCCAAAAGCAAGAATAAACCCCTCTAAAAGCAGATGCATCAGGAGAATTTTGAGGGCAACCTCTTACCTGCTGGTTCTGATAGGCCGTGACCGTGGTGAACACAGTCTCAGGAAAGTTGAATGTTTTCACCCCATCCCCAATAGGGACAGGCTTGGTGGGTGAAAGGTCACTGCTGAAATCCTTGCGAATCACGTGGACTCGAGGCTGGTATTTGTGCATAGAGTGCAGAATGATCTGAAATGAGAAAGGGAGTGAAGCTAGGCTGGGCTTTAAGGCCCCTACATTTTTTTCAAGCACTTAATGCAAAATAAATCACAGGATGGAAGCATTACAGCAAGAGCATAACTGGGGGTAGAAGGTACAGAAACTGGAAAGCAGTTTACATGCCCATGGCGGGAAGGACCTCGTGATTGGAGAGCCCTGCACAGAACTGCATGGCAGGTGTTCTTATCATGGATAGTACACGTCATGTTTCTTTTAATTGGATCAATGCTGAATGGAACCCAAAGGTCTCAGGACCTCTGCTATGTGACAAATTGTTCTTCAGCCTGGGTTCACACTGTCTTAAATTCCACACCTCATTATTTGCATGCATTATTGAATTTATGAACATTCTTTTGTGTCCTACAAGAGTGAATTGTAAATGCATGTTCTCACTCGCTCAGAAAATCCTCATTTCCTTGAAGATAAGAGCTACAGCTTTAGCTTCTTCAATCTTCCCCTAGTACTAAGTATGAATCCTGGCACTCAGTGAGAATTCAGTGCACAATTCACTGTCAAAGATAAATTAATAACATCAGGTGCTCCAATTATACCTGGAAAGTCTTAAGACAGTCCTCTCTTACAAATTCATAAATTTCTTGACATATCAGCCAAAACTATCATTTGCTTGTTTCCTCTAGTTTATTGCCTCATGAGTTATATCCTACCGAAAGGTGTGATTTCTTTTACCATTGTTTAATTTGTCTTGTGTTTCTGTCTTGCCTCCCTAACCAGACTGTAAGTCCCTGGAGCACAAGGACTGTGTCTGATAAACATGAGCTGATGCATAGCAGATGTTTGCTAAATGTTAGATTTGTAATAAATGAAATTTAACTGGGAAAAAGTTCATGCTTGCTTACTTAAAGTGACTTAAAGTGGCATGGAGATTCTTATTTCATCGATTTGAAAAAGCCTGAGGCTAGACATCTCAAAAGCAAAAAAGCGAGGAACAGGGAAAAAGGATTCTTTGACTCACATGTCCTTGATCATCCAATTCATTGTTGGTCAGCTTGAGTTTGTCGAAACTGACCACCTGTCTCATCCAGGTGTCTCCAGAAGCTAGAGAGTCAGGGTGTATATAAACTCTTGGGGGCACCGGGGAATCAGCATTGCCAGCCACCATCCACTTGGAGCTATGATACACATATCTGAGGGGGACAGGAAGAAAAGAGAAGTCAGAGGCAGACGCAGATGCAGAGAAGGGACAGAGGACCAGGAAACAAGTGGAGACACACAAGCAGAGAGAAGAGCAGAGAAAAAGAGAGAAGTGCAGATAACCAGGAAAATGAAGTCGAGATAGACGTGGACAACGAGGTGGTGGGGGAGGGCAGAAAGTTTTGTGGTTAATGATCAAAGCTCCAGCTCTCCCGAGGAAAGCATTCTCACAGTCTCTTTCCTTTCTTCCCCCTCTCCTTGCCATGCACCCCTGTGTGCGCACGGGCGGGCTGCACTCACATGTCTAGCCATGGAAAAGGCATTTTACTGCAACCTTTCACCTTTCAAATGCAAACCATATAATCCCTTGGCCACTTGTTCAGGATTTTGTTCCTTATTAAAAACATCTTCCATATTGTCCTATAAAAGGCAGCCATGTGCAGAGACCCTCCACTCCTCTCACTGGTTAACCATTTCCTTGCTAAGAATCTGAATTTTGAGGCATTTCTATGAAAATGGAGAGATTTTGCCTTAGTCAACCATTCCAAGAAACACCATCCAGTATTCCTAGTTACTGCTTTGTTTCGTGAACCTAATGTTAAAATTCATCGTCTTCCACTTTAGTCTCCCACAAAACCACTGGAAATGGGAGGCTGTTGGTAGTAAAAGGAGTCAGTTTTCCAGACTTTGCCAATGTCCCCTACTTTGGAAGAGCTATTTCCGTGCACTCCCCTGCTTCTCACCTCTAGAGGACCACACAGGACCTAGACCCTGGCAAACAGAAGTGCTCAGTCCCAATCACACTCCCAAGATGTTCTAAAACAGAGGGTAGCATCTTCTTTCCTGAGTCTTGCCATCCAGACCATGTCAGCCTTCCTCTGCCCTCTCCCTTTGCCATGTTAATCCTGACCTTCTTCATTCATCTCTTACCTCCAGACTCATGGATTTAGGACCAATATCTCAGATGTTAGATATTTTTTTAAATGAGCCATGTTTTGTTTATTTGATTAATATTTCATAATATCTCAAGGGATAGAATAAATCATAACTTTTTTCTGACAAGAGCTACTTATAAGCCATCCAGGAGATCTGGAGACTATGTTGGCTTTTGATGACTTTAGGGAAAAGTTATTTAAAGAACTCACTCATAACCCATATTAATGAACAATAATTCTCCCTAACTAAATGTTCTTCTTGAAATCTTACCTGATTCTCCTGTTCTCCCTCTCCATCATCTGCAGGGTGACCCATCAGAGATGTGATTAAATGCACTCCACTGGTACACTTCTCCTTCCCTTCTCCAGAATAAATCATCCCAGCTCACTTGGCATTTCACAAATCATTCAATATATTGATCACTTTCAATGTTAACTAAGTTAATTTTAGGCTTACGATTCATTTGATTTTTGTTACCCCGGGAGATATTGTATAATCTCATTCTGTTCAAAGATGCAGGAAGAATTGCAGACCAAAGTTACTACTTCCTGCCCTGTGCTCTGCCTCAGGCCATTGGCATCGCCCATTCCTTGTTCCCTGTACAGTGTGCCTTGTTAAAATGCTTCATCTAATGAGTTTAAAGCACTGTCTAGGAAAGCTGGTGATGCCACAATGCCCCATGCCAGATACCTGTATCTCTTATTGTCCACGGGCACAATGTCCATCGCTATGTAGTACTGCTGGTGTGGATCCAGGCCAGTGATTTTCACCCTCATGGCAGGAAACATCCTCCTAGGAAGGGAAATAAAGTAGTAACTTCCATAATCAGAGGGGGAGAAGAAGAAGGAGCAAAGTCTTGAAGAGCGTTTTCTTATTAGGTATTCTAAACACACCAATGTCCAAAGGCCTCTAATTCTCAAAATCAGTTAATTTATTTCCACTTTGGAAATTATCTCTACAAAATGAATTAGGGACTTATACCACTGAAATAGCATCTCTTCTTAACTTAAATTGACTTTTAATTTGATGATTCTTACAAAGGGTCCTTACCATTCCCCGATTTATCATATTTTTAGTTAATCTTCAATGTAATATAGATGCATGTGTAGATATGTGTGCATGCCTATACATAGATTTTCCACTAGCTATAATCTTCTTAAAGGTAGGTACAATAACATACACTCTTCTTATTACCCAAGGAGCTTACCATGGTTTATTGTAGGTCATCATAAAGTATTTTGGACTGATTGAGTTTATTTGAAAATGATCACTCTAAAAATAATCTCTTAAGAAGAGAAGAAAAAGGAAAGAAGATGCTACCAATCCCCAAACAAAGGGCCACCATTTTTTAGTGCATAAAAATGTAGAAACATTTCTGCAAGTTCTCAGGCTGTCAACGTGTGTGTCAGGAAGGACCCTGTGGAACAGAGACCAAATACTAAATGAATTCTGGTGGCCTCTGGGCAAAACCTTGTTTCCACCACAATGGCTTGTTAAACTTGCCAAAGCAAGTGAGGTCAGGATATAGCACTTTACAAGTTCTCTCATAATTGAAGAGAGAAGGAGAGGGAGCAAGCCCAAAAGAGGTATTGGGTTTCAACAAGTCAAGAATAAAGTTTACCATTCTTCTTTAATGTATGAAAGAAGAAAAACATCAAGTTTTTTGTATCAAGCCAGACATAAAAAGTTCTCAGTTCAAAATTTGGGTTGCCCTGGATGTGCTCTAGGGTACTTGTATACAAAACACTGCATTAAGCTTAACCATCTGGGGCTAGTTAGTCGAGCTGGGCAGAGCATAGTGCTAATGAGGTCAAGGTCATAGGCTTGATCCACATATGGCCTAATTGGCTTTGCTCCATTTCACGGCCACAGACCATACCCTGACCTCAGACAGCCATGTTGCAAATGTGTACTGGATGGTTCCATGAGAGGCTCTCTCTGCTAGTCACACACTCACTACTCATCCAGAAAGAGCAACCCCAAAAGCCACTGTCTGGCAGTTGACATGATAATGATATTTGAAGGAAGGTATAAAAGGAACTTTAATAGGGATGATGCCTAATCAATAAATAGATGCAAAGAATAATATATAGCCATTTCTCAAAAGCTTTTGTTGGTACACCATTTTAGATTTTCTCTCCAAACTCTCTCAAGTTTAATTAGAAGTCTCTATAGTTTAGTCTTATGATAAAGTAGTGAAATTTGATGGTGGGCTGCTCACAATGATTAAATCCAATCATCACTATAGGTTAGGCACTTTGATCCACGTTAATTCTTTCCAAAAATTTAAAGACATATCAATAATTCCCTTCTTAATAACAGATTTACAACTGCCCTGTTTTAAGGGCATCTTGCCAAGGATGAGGCAAAAATCCTCCCATTTACTACTCAAGTTAACAAAATGCTCCCTTCAGCCACCTACAGAGGCTGTGCTACATGAAAGAGACAGATTTCTTCTCTTGATGATTTCCAGGAAAAGGATTAGTGACAAGAATTTTTTCATATTTGGGTGATGGGAACACTTACAACCTTGACTCAAGTATGACAAAATTGATACATGTAACCAGAAACATTTTTACCCCCATAATATTTTGAAAAAAAAAAAAAGCTTACAAAGGGTTCTCTGTTTTTAAATTGAGTATCTGTTTTGCCTTAGAACAGTTACATGACCGTGAGTTGTAACAAAAACTACCTATTTCTTCCCAGTACCCAAGTTCTAAAATGTATGAATTTAGATAAGTTATTTAAATTCACCATTTATAAAAAAAGGGAAGTGACCACATAATCTCTAAGGTGCCCTCCTGCCTTAAAACTTTTTGTCAATATTTTAGCACAGAATATGAAGTGAAGTCATAACACTCTGGGGAAAAAGTAATCTTTCATGTTTCACAAAATGAGATGTGTTTGGTTGTAATTTTATGGCTAAATTTAGGCAAGTTCTTTTGTCTTTGAAACCCATTAATCCCTATAAAACCCTCTGTCCATGGTGCTGATTGTAAGATAGTGTTGGTGAGTTCCAAGATCAAGGGCTCTGTAGACTGAGTCAACAAGATTACAGTTTGGGGTGTGAGAAGAGGTAGGTAGTGATTAAGATCTTTAGAGTTTGAGAAAGGACAGATAGTCATGCATAAGTAACAAAGTAAAATTGAGTTAAAAAATGGAAAATAATATTCCATCGGAAGGAAAATGAAGCAAAAAGGAAAAAACTGACCAAAGGAATAATGAGGAATGAAGAAAATTCACAGTAGAGAACAAGCCTTCTTTGTATACTTCTGAACTATTTCAGAATTATTGGAGCAGAATTACAACCTAGGCAATCAAATACAGAAGGAATGAATGTAGTTTCTAAACCTCAACAAAGGACTTCAATATGACTAAAGAAAAATTGTGTGTCTGAGCTAGGGTATGTGTGAATGTATCCAGGTATCAGGGTGAATCTGTGAAATCAGAGGTTTGGAGAAGAAAATACTGCAGAAGAAATTACCAAACGAGTCACCAGAGGGTTGTCAAGGTGCAGCACTGAGCTGAATTCACTGAAGTTCAGGAATGAAGAAATGCCAAAGACAAGAGTGACTGGAATACACAGACACAGCAGTAATGAGGTAAGACCTCCAAAATAAAATCTGCAGTATCTTACAGAGAAAGAACAATTGTAGTATTTCTCCCCTACCAAAAATTAAAAAGAGAAAGGAAACAAGTTTTCCCTTGAATTGCTTTGTTTTCTTCCAAGGTTTAACACCTCAAAATTTATAACAGGATGACACTAAGACCCAAGCAACAAAAAAAAGAAATGGCATTGAAATGAATTCTCCTGCCATGTTTCTCCAGCTGGGGATCCCTTCAATAGTTACACCCAGTACTAAAACTTAGTGAGGAAAGTGGCTTCCAGAAGAGAACAAAAATCAACAAGATTTCTGATTCATTCAGACCTGTTTGTTTATGTAATTAATGTCTTATTATGGTGGGAAGTTTCTCTATCAGCATACAGGTTAACTGGACTCAGTCAAAATATTCTTTTACTTTATGCAGCCATATTCATACAAAAAGCTTAGAAGCAGTGAAATGGGTCTTTTGGTCCACATGATATGTGAAACTATGTAGATTGGCTTTGAACATATAAAGCCAGCATTATTGTTTTACATAATTTCAATTAAGTATTCCTACATACTGAAAAGCTTAGTCCAAATTTAATTTTATCTAAATCATTTTCATTTGGAATCCAAGGGGCAAGAGCTATAATCATTTCTTAATAGTGTACAGCTGTAAATAGTTGAGACCATAATTTTAGAACCACATAGATTTATGTGGAATTCAAGAACTGCCCATTACTACCCTTGTGCCTTAGTTAAGGTAATTAACCTCCTCTTGCCTTTGCATCCTATCCCACAAATAAGATGAGCATATCCTACTCATAGAATTCTGTGAAGCTTAAATGACATAATACACATTGAGTGTCCAGCACAGAACAGGTATCTAACTATGAAAAATTGAAATATGCCAATGAAGAAGCATGTTCACTAAAAGTGCCTATTTTAAGAGAAATTGCATTTTAAAAATGTAGTTATTCTAGATAGTTTTGCAAGAGATCCCACATAGTGCTATTAAAGTTTTGTAATAATTTCAAGTCAACGATAAAAAAACAGGACTCAGAAAAGGCACCAAAACTTACAAAAGCATCTGGTTGTTTTACATGCCTTAGAAGATGCAAGCTGTTGTTTTGCAAAGCAAATTTCTCAAAAATATTAAATCCTTTGGAAATCTGTCTTTTGACTATTGAGATACTATAAGCCTCTGGTATCAGCTGAAATACATCTATAGGTAGAAAATCTTTATGAGGGTAGAGGGCATTTCGATTTGGGTGGCCCTTGGAAGAGAACAGCAAAAACACAGTACACATAAGAGGACCACTTTACCACGATGTCCAGATGCAGAAAAGCTGGTATGAGCTGCTTTGGTTTAACTGATGCTGCCACAAATAAATGGAAGAAGGGTATGTAATGGCTCCTACTTGTGTAGATTCTTTGACTCGTTTGGCCACTCAATGGAATTGGTCCTTACCTGCCTGCTTTGGTGATGATCATTTCGGTTCCGATATCATGGAACCTCTTCCAGAGGTCAGCACATTGTAGTTCCACCTGAATGTCCTCCATGGACGACATGGCACCAGGCACAGGGCCCGCAGCCCCAGAGGCCAGGTCCGCGTGAGCAGTGAAGGAGCAGGAAGTCCGCTCAGTGAGCACCTCGGAGTCTGAACCCGTGCTCTGCTCGGAATCTGCAACACAGACAATCAGGCCTCAGGTGAGAAAGGGCTGTGCTTGTTTCTCCCCACCCCAACTCTAAAGGACGGGATGCAGTAAAGTGGGGAGGGGGTGAACGAAAGGAGACTTAACACTGGGAAGCTCCAGAGCATGGCACTTGGGGTATTTTATTATTTTTTTTATGGTTTGTTTTTGTGATTTATGACCTTCTTTCAGGTTTTGTGTTTCCAACATGACATCTGGCATTTTAGTAAGTTTTAGCAACAGCTGAAGAAAACTGGTCCACAGCAAGCAATGTAAAGGGCACGAAGTACTAATGTCCCCATGTCGGAGGGAATGAAGCCAAACTAGGGTGACACAATAAATGCCAAATTAAAGTAAACTAATAATTACAGACACTAGGAACAAATCTAGATGAGACAACTTCATTTGGAGGAGTTGGGATTCAATGCTAATAACACGGTGCTATTCAGCTGCTTACCCCTCAGCATCACAGCCCATTGACAGTTATTTTAAACACAGTGATTTTCCCTCCACTTATATGTGCAGCAACAGTGATGGAGATCTGTTTGGGATATTTAGAAGCACTTTGTCATATATTGGAGTAAATGGTTTTTCCTAAACATCCAGTCGGGCCATTTTTGAATGGGAAAGAAAAAAAAAAGTCTCTGTCGTGAGGCAAGGATATAAAGCATATGGAAAAAGTTACCCAAGAAGGCGGGTGAAACAAAGGGAATAAATGAGTTCAGGAGACACCTTGATTGGTTTCTGAAGTACAGGCGGGGGTCGGGGGGGATCCAAACAGGAAGGCGGGATTGAGAGCAACCAAATAAAAAGTTGGGGTGCTGGGCCAGATGGGCCCTTCCTGCGTCCTCTATACTGGAGAAGACAGGTGGCGGGCGGGGTGGGCAGATGGGAAAGTGGACTGAAGAAGAAAGTTGGAATCAAATTTACCCAGAAAGACTAAAAAGAATTCACCTTTAGGACCCTAATCCCAAGAATTATTCAGCCAAAGATTTTCCTAATTAAGATTGGCTAGTGTAATTTCCTCATGTCAAAAGATACCGCAAGCCAAGCCTAAGAACCAATTTCTCTAACTCATGCTTAATGTCTAGGATTCTGACTGCCTTCCCTGTCAATAAATATAAACGTGAGTAAAGGCTGGCACACCAGTGTCCTACTCTGACAAATGACTTTTCAATGCTGTCAAGGATCAGAGCTTCTGAGGCATCAGACCCTGACACCACTAAGATGGAATAAGAAGGAGAAAGAACACCACACCACTTTGCTGCCATGGTCACTTACCTGGAGTGAGTTCATACACCTGTGATCAACACAGACTGTGGTTTTTTATTTTTCTTTCTTTTTACCTACGACTTTTTTCCTCTCTCAAACCCAGGCAGCATCTCTGGCAAGAATAACCCACAGCTTTGTCAAAGCCCACAAGAAATAAAGTGCACAGAGAGAAAAGTGTCATTTCTCTCCATCCTCCTCAATTCCTCACCTATCATTTCTGAATGGAGTCCATTTCCTAGAGAACTGAACCAGCTCCTAAATAAGAGATGTTTCTGATCAAAAACTTCAGTTTACCCACAATTAATAGTCCAGTCCCTACCTTCACCCAAAAAAAAAAAAAAAATACTGTAACATTTTATAACTAGGTTTTACATGTCTAAGCACAAAATTTTATACCTTGGACTAAGCAGCAGCTATTTTTGGTCTCCTTCAAGTACAGAAAAGTAGAACTACTTATCTAAGATGAGCGCGGCTGCTGAGTGACAGATTGCCACCCTGGGCTGACTCCACACTGCACGCAGCAGCAGAGGTATCATCACACACTGAGCCAAAACAGTAACTCAAATAACCTGAGACATGGATTCCTGAATCTTATTTTGTTTCTGTGTTGTCCTCAGGGTTCCTTGCTTACCATGAATATTATGAATTTTTCAAAACTTCTCATAATTGTTTTAAAAGTAATAGCTATGTCCTACCTTTGGGAGTAAAATGCTGTGAACTCCTCACCACAGAGTGCCACAAATACGGAAACAGCTGAAAACGTACACCCTTAGTAGGGCCAAGCAGAAGTTTTTGACATATGATTTCCCCAGTGTATGTTTAGGAAAGGGGAGGGTAGAGAAAGGTATTACTGTTCTAAGCAATAAATACTTAAAGAAAGCTGAGTTGAGGTTGGGGCTCAAATGGGGACTATGCCTGGAGAATTTGGCAATAAGAGACTCTTAATTCACTATGCCATCTGGAATTGAATCGGGACTCAAAACGTAATACCAAATGGATTAACAAATAACCTGAGATGAGTAATTTAATGGCCAGGGGCCTATATCCCCCCATACAATTAGAAGGATTGAACTAAAACATTTTAGAATCTCTGCTACTTCTCTGACATGAAGAATGTATGAATCCTCTCTAATACAAATGATAACCCAGGTAACCTCAATTAGAGAAATCAAATTTAAAACTGTTTGAGTGAGACAAAGTAAATAAGGAAGAAAGAGTGGGGATTCACATTACCATAGGAATTGAAGAATTAAGTGGGTATTCTCTAAGGGTTTATAGTTCCAATCAAATCAATCAATGAGCACCTATCAGCATATGGCCCCAGATGAGGTACCATGTAGATAATTAGAAACAGAATCCCAAACTCTAAGAAGTTTCCCAGCTAGTGTTGATTAATTATGTGTTTATTGCATGCTTACTGTGTGCCCAGCACTGTGCTGGATTCTGGGAAATACCAAAGCACACAACAAGACCCCTCCTTAAAGCCTCTCCAGAGCAGTGGGGACTGCGGGCATTCACAGATAGTCAGAAACCAACACAAATCACTACCACAGTTTTCCACACCTCACACATTGTCTCAGATGTCTCACACGATCCCCAAAAAGAGGGATCTCAAAGGGCTGGGACAGTTCTGGGGAACACATCACCACTAGAAGGAAATGGGCCGGCCTGCCAAGGAATAGGCTGTACTTGCCTGTGAAGAGGATTTTCGGGAACAGTTACAACACTTATTTTCCTGGACACATTCTAAACTTCTAGCTGTTTCCTCCTTTCACAAAATAGAGCCCAGTGACTTTTACACACAAAATGGAGGCATCTGCCTACATTTACAATGACATGAAAGCAACATTTTAATTTTCCATTCTCAATTGTTTAATAGAGATATAAGAATTTGGAAATAAAATTAAAGTTATGTTTTTTATGTTTAAAAACTTCTGGAGAGTTAGGGTCACCTGTGAGGTACAGTACCCTATGATACCCTTAAAATAGTAATCTCAGAGTCAAGATCAACAGCCTAGGTATAAAGAAAATTTAATCCTATATAAAACACATTTCTAAATTATAGTTGTATAAAACATGTAGGCTATCCAGATAAAAAAGTTTAGCTATTAATTAGAACATCTAATCAAATTCTTTAAGTATAAGAAACACATAGTTATTTTATTTTATTGTTAAATCATAGCTGTGTACATTAATACTGTCATGGGGTAAAGTGTGCTGTTTTTATAAAAACACATAGTTATTTTAACCAAATTAGATCATCCATTCAAAAATATAATCAGTCCCTTTGATGATGGCACACCTCTATGTTTTCAAATATGTTTATTCTGGGCAATTTATAACTTCCTGTCTTCAAAAACTATCCAGTAGAAACTCATTTTAATGACCCAGATCCATTTTTTGACTATCAGAGTCCTCTTATGAATTGCATTTCGACAAGAGAATTTTTAATAAATCAGAAACACAAAACATTAAACATTACCAAGGCTGTTAAAGGAGAAAAATTAGAGAACCTACACTAGTGACAGTTACAAGTCACTGAAGAACATCACGGGATTCATAGGGTAAAACCAACAGAGGTATTCTCATCACAAAAAAAATCCTTAAAAAAGATATTTTAACCATCAGTTCATAGCATCACTCCCTTTCTAGCACTGACCTGTTTTATTTCCATAAAATGAATCCCATAACACTAAATACCCACAGAAAGTTGGGTTCAGCTGCAAGTAAATTCAATTCTCACTCTAGTAATAAAAATAAAATAGTTCCTTAATTTTTACTTTATACATTATCTAATATAGGCTTCTTGTTGATAAGATAGCTATAGCCTATACTTTTATATCTATTTTGTGGATTAGAAATCAAAAACCAACATGAACTAAACTAACAGGTCTTCTGCTTCCTGATCCAGGGATCAGACCTCCCCAAGATCACCCTAGGTTCAGCCCTGGCCAAAACAACTGGCAATTCTTGTAACAGCCCTCAACTATTTTAACCATCCTCACAACTAAAATGGCTTAAAACATGTTTAATCTTTGCCAAGTCACATGACTATTCTGGTCCACAATTTCCTTAATCTTTATAGCACAGCACATGCACATTTAATTAGACATGCTATAAAAGTCCCTTTTAACTTTAATGTTTAATGGATGGATTAGCAGTGCAGCTCAGAGACCACCAACTCTAACAACAGCAAACCAACCACAATAAGTTTATTTGGTTACCATACATGGAAAATGCACAAATCGCATATGTTTTTATTTGAATCAACACAATATTAAAATTAGACATATTTTACAGTCTACCAGGTGATGTGCATCTCCACTTCATGGGTAATTTTGAAGAATCATCCATTACTACAGGGAACAAAGCATATTCACTCTCATGGCTCTGCTACTCACCAGCAGTGGGACCTTTAAAAGTCTCTTTGGTTCACTGGGCCTCAAAGATCTCAAAGATGAGATTTCCTCATCTTTGCTATTAGGGGATAGGAGCCTAAGGTATGCTTCCTGCTCATAAAATTATATTTATGTCTTTTATTTTTTTTGAGACAGAGCCTCAAGCTGTCCCCCTGGGTAGAGTGCCATGGCATCACAGCTCACAGCAACCTCCAACTCCTGGGCTCAAACAAGTCTTCTGCCTCCACCTCCCAAGTAGCTGGGACCACAAGCGCCCACCACAGTGCCTGGCTATTTTTTTTGGTTGCAGCCATCATTGT